ATTATTTTATGCCTTGTAAAACTCTGATGTCAGTAACCCATTAAAGTAAACTTATTTGCTAGTTTATAGGTGCATCTATTCACTATTCTCACTACTTAATTATTGAATGAAGCCTAACTTTAGCTTACGGGTTTGTTTGCACCATTCTCCCGACCGAAGCTGCTACCTTGACGCGGTGGTCGGGCTTGCCTATCGTGATGACCCGACCGAGCTATATTGGCTGGAACATATGTTCCTGTAGGTTCTACCATGCCAGGCAGGTCGATTGGAGAACGGTAAGACTAAAAGCAGCAACTCAAGGTCTGAGGGCGAAGTCGTACTGCTGACTGTAGAGGGGTGTGACAGCAGTAAGGTGTTTCCCTCGGACAACCAGCATGACAGCGATGCTGCCTTCCCACAAGGAGGGGTGGGGTTAGAAAAGGTCGACCCTAAAAATGTCACACCTCACCTTACCTCACGGATTTCCGTCTCCGGCGGTAAGGCCCTTTGAAGAACGGAGCTAACACGTCAAAAACCTCCCACAAAAGGGCCGTGCGCGACCGGCCTCAAGCAGTTGTCCCTTGGGCTCTGCGGTCACGCTCCCAGGTCGTCAAGACCAACACTAATCCAATTTCCTTTTCAGGTTCCTCAAGAAATACCCTTCCACGGTGTGGGCAGCCGGGAAGTGACATCAGCCCTCATACCCGTAACAGCACACGAGACCAAGGTGGTCACATTCAAATCCTTCCTACACCTCCTAATACCTCTCTTATCTCCATGACTAACCCTCCTCACGTCTCTTTATCACCTCGCACCGCTAGGGCAAACGATTCGAGTACGTGGAACGCCATTCCTGGTCTCCTGAAACCACGCTCTAAACTACACGTAGGAGCTTTTAACGTACGAACACTTTGCCAAATAGGACAGCAGGCTTCCTTAGCTAAAACTTTAGAATCTCGCGCCATCGATGTGTGCTGCGTCTCCGAAACGCGCATACAGGATCCGAGTAGCGTCATTCATTTGACCTCACCATGCCAAAATAAAGAACCGACTCGATTTACGCTTCGTGTATCTGGAAGCCCTGATTCTGCTTCCCGTGGCCTCGCCGGCGTAGGTATAGCATTGAGTCCTAGGGCAGAACTAGCTCTCTTAGAGTGGATCCCAGTAGACAGTCGTTTGTGCGCTGTCCGACTGAACGGAACAGTAAGAATCCGGAAAGATAGGGACACTCGTCGTTGCCTCTTCGTCGTCTCTGCCTATTCTCCCACTGACTGCAGCTCAGATGGTAAAAGATGAGTTTTACAGAAAGCTTTCGGACCTTCTCCGAAAAGCTAGGCGCTCGGATGTAGTAATAGTGGCCGGTGACTTTAATGCTCAAGTAGGTAAACTAAGCGATAGGGAAAGACACCTAGGTGGATCTTATGGTGTCGTGGCTCAAAGAACAGATAATGGCGACCGTCTGTTGCAGCTATGCTCAGATAACCGCCTGTTCCTTGCAAATACTAACTTTAAGCATAAGGAAAAACATCTTTTAACATGGCGACCCCCTAATTCGTCCCAACGTTGGACCCAAATAGATCACATCGCTATCAGCCACCGATGGAGGGGCTCGATAGAAGACTGTCGCTCATTCTGGAGCACATGCCTAGATTCAGATCATGCTCTAGTGCGAGCGCGTATTTGCTTGCGTCTTACTGGACGTAGGAAAGACGCTGCAAGGAAACCTCTTAGGGCCTACTTAATGATAGTCAAGCTAAGAGTATATTTCAGGAACAACTAGGAAAACAGTTAGGCAGCCATGTATGTGATGCCCACCCCGATGCAGCATGGAATGATATCCGAAAAGCTGTGGAAACAGCAGTGATATCTGCTAGTAAGGTAAACCAGAAGGTTAGGGAGCAACACTGGATCTCAGCAGCATCTATCGCACTGATAGATGCTCGGAAACTCATTCCACCTGGCTCTGAACATAATGAAGAGCGGAGTCAGCTTAAGCGCAAGCTGACAAGAAGTCTACGCAATGATCGCGAACAGTGGTGGGTAGCGAAAGCAAGAGAGATGGAAAAGGCAGCGGCAATAGGTAATAGCAGACAATTGTTCAGACTCGTTAAGGAAACCGGAATTAGGAACCCGACCGTTAGCGAAACAATCTCAGAGAAAGATGGACATATTATACATTCTCAATCCAGGAGATTGGATCGATGGGCAGAACACTTTAGGGATCAGTTCAACTGGCCTTCAGCCACACTTCGGTTTCCCACGATCTCCAGTCAACCTGAATGGCAAGTTAATGTAGGTCCTCCGTCTCTTTACGAAGTTGAAAAAGCCATAGGAAATCTGAAACGAGGGAGAGCAGCAGGCCCTGACAGGTTTACTCCTGAGATTTTTAAGGATGGTGGTCCAGTATTAGCAATGAGATTAACTGAGGTCTTAGGTAGAATTTGGGAACTGGACGTAATCCCATCTGACTGGTCTCAATCACTGATTGTGCCAGTTTATAAGAAAGGACAAAAGTCCTCTTGTGACAATCACAGAGGAATCAGTTTGACTAATATAGTGTCTAAAATATTAGCTTCAATAATACTTCGACGCCTAACAAAGCTCGTGAAGAGCAGACTAGAGAAAACCAGGCTGGTTTTCGACCTGGACGTGGTTGTATAGATCAGATATTCACACTACGTCAGGTTCTAGAACACAGACACACATTCAGACGCCCCACAATGGTAGTATTTCTCGACCTTAAGGCGGCATTCGACTCTGTTGATCGTGAGGTTCTATGGCAGTGTTTGTCACTGAAAGGAGTACCAAAGAAGTACATTAACCTTATAAAGGCTCTCTACTCGAACACAACTGGTCGAGTGAGAGCTTATGGCGAACTGTCATCAGAATTGATTACCTCAAGTGGTGTTCGTCAGGGCTGTCCACTCTCCCCATTCTTGTTCAACTTTGTGGTCGACGTACTTTTAGAGATAACACTCTCCTCATCTAAATTTACAGGGGTTGAACTTCTACCAGGAGGTTCACTTGTTGACTTAGAATATGCTGATGACATAGTTTTATTTGGTGAAGACACTGACAAAATGCAGAGTCTTCTGACCACTCTAAGCAACAATGCAAGCATGTTCGGGATGCGATTCTCTCCCTCGAAATGCAAAATGTTGCTTCAGGATTGGGTTACATCGACACCCGAACTAGTGATAGGGAGTGAAGTAGTTGAGTGTGTCGACCGCTTCACTTATCTTGGAAGTCTCATCAGCCCTTGTGGTCTGGTGTGTGACGAAATCTCAGCACGGATACAGAAGGCTCGACTAGCTTTTGCCAACTTGCGTCATTTATGGCGTAGGCGAGATATCCGTCTATCAACCAAAGGACGGGTTTACTGCGCAGCAGTTCGTTCCGTCCTACTTTATGGCAGTGAAACATGGCCGGTAAGAGTAGAGGATATCCGTAGGTTACTAGTATTTGATCATAGGTGTCTTCGAAACATTGCTCGTATATCCTGGGACCATCGAGTAAGTAATGCAGTTGTTAGGAAACGGGTACTAGGTAAGGATGGCAAATCAATTGATGACGTAGTGAAACTTCATCAGTTGAGATGGCTGGGACACGTGTTACGTATGCCCAACGACCGACTGCCTCGACGTGCGACTTTTTCTGGTATAGGAGTAGGTTGGAAGAAAGCTAGGGGCGGCCAGACCAAAACATGGCACAAGTCCATGAAGTCACTGACAAGTGGACTGAGTCATATTGGTAGGTGTAGACTACCTGGTTGGGGACCGCGAGATGATAGCAACCGATGGTTAGAGAGGTTGAATGACATGGCTCAAAATCGTTTGCAATGGCGCAGGTGCATCCACTCTTTGTGTTCTCCCAAGTTTTAGTTTCCTGAATCCTCCTTGTTATTTTTTTCTCTTTCCAAATTTATTTCGCTATATTATACTCCTTAAATAACATCTTCAAACCATAATTTTTCTGATTACAGCTTATAATTTTACTACATCTAGCACTACGGGATTTGAATCAAACACTGCATCTCTGTGCTAATGTGGTGTGGCAACTCGAACTGATGTACGTACGTACGAAGTTCTAAGTTGTTACTGACTGGCTGACTGACTGCACCATTCTGAGTGCCCATTTCATTAATTTCCAGATAATATCTGACTTGTAGGGTAGACGGCATTGTAATGTATACTTAACCTACCAAATATTTATTTCATGGAATGAAAGCTAAGTTGGGACTCAACATACTGTTCGTCATACACCTTCTCTTGGAACATAGCCCACCAGCCAGGAATCTGAAATCAAATTTGTCCTGAGCTTTCCTTTCTAGTTATTACCGAGTGCTATTCATCGTCTTGATGTTTGCCTCTTATCCACATCACCATGTGTTATTTGGTATATCTCCTCTTTTCTCTTGGCCATTCCAAGTTAAGGTCTACCTTGCAATGTGGTCGGATGGTTTGTAAGATTCAGGTTTAGGTCGGTGTCGGTGCACGTATCTATGCTAGTAGAACAGTAGTCCTATATTGTGAACTTTCCGTGATGTGACTCCCCAATCTATAACATCTCATTTTGAAGTCGTATCATTGGATGTTAAAACTATGCAGTGTCGGTTAAGTGTACTCGCATTGAGCATTCAGCAATAAATAGAAAGGAGAGTTCAGGACAAGTTTGGTTTCAGATTCCTGGTTGGTGGGCTTTCTCAGGGGAGGTAGCTTCTCCGAATAAGTAAGCTGTAGAACGGTAGAGTTTTCTATTTTTGTATCCTAGACTGCATTCGGGTTCTACTTTGAGTGTGTTAGTGGTTAGTAGTTCTTGATTATTCCAGTTATGAGAATCTGGTAACAGGTTCAATTTTAAAGTAATTATGAATCCTAGTAATCATTAGCTTCTAAGTGATCATAGAACTTTTGTTCTTGATTATTTGTTAGTGGCTTTGCAGTGTTGATTATGACTAGTGCTAGCCTAATTATCATTTTTATACGACATTCGTTCTCTGGAAATGCTTGGTTGTTTTTTAGAAAGTTGGAGTTCATTGTCAACTGGGTAGAGGTCGTGCGGGAACAATTTTAGCGTGCTATCTTGCCTACAAAAACAATCTTGATGCCAATCAAGCCATTATGGAATTGCGTCGACTTAGGCCAAAATCAATTGACGATGAACAGGAAGAAGCTGTGAGACGATATGTGAAGTCAATCAAACAGTAATGACGTAAATGGGTTGACGAAAACGCGTTACTCATACAATAAATTGTAATTTAAATGGTTCCTTTTTAAAGGGGCCCAATCATGGTTACAGTGGGAAAAAGAATCACTAGTCGTTTTAAACCATTTCTTATTCTTATTTTATCATTTCGCATCCGACAAGAAACACAGTTCTGTTATATTGACTGGAAATCTTATTTTCTAGTATCTTCTCATGTGTTCAGTATGTTGGTCAATGATAATGTCTACTTTTTGGTATTTCCTCAATCAGTTTCTTAAGCGAATTGCCAGTTCAATCAAATTAGTCATTCCGATAACCCATTATATATTAGGTTATCATAACACCTAACTATTCATGAAAACTACTAACCTTGTCTTTAACTAAAACTGTCTGCCCAATATTCATCATTGTAGTATAACAATTCATCATCAACGACTACTATATAAGATCACAATTATTCAACTAGAGAAGACTTGTTCAAACTTCTGAATTACCTACTTTGTAACTGTAAAAATTTGCAATAACGGTCACCGTTTTAGATTTGTTTTAACTGTTTGCACATGCAACTTATAGTACATTTATCATACTGAAACGTTGGAATTAGTTGGAAGGAAAGCTTATGTCTGGATTGTCTGTTAGCTAAGGCTCATCAGGGAATTTTATTTTTGACCACAAAAATTCAGATGGTGCTCATTTCACACTAAATCAAATGCCAGTTTCTATTCACTTTGTTTATGTTACTTGTTTCGGTAAACATTTTAGACTGTGAATGCTTGGTTTTTTATAAAACATGTGTCTATTGCGTTTCCCAATCGGGTAGTGATATGGTAAGCCAATCAGGAGTAGCCAAATGAGGTCAGTCGGTTTCAAACAGAAGTGACCTGAAGGACAAGTGTATATCATTGGCTAAGAAATTAATTTCCTAAGGGGTAGAGTTATATATATAATGAGTATTTGTGCATTTTATTGAATAGGCCAATATACTTTCTCGTTCACTCTTATGTCGTCGCTCAAATTAGTCAGTTGGGGGGCTAGTGTATGTCACATCGTGTATCAGTATCAGATTTCGGATACCACCTATCATAACAGGTAGTACCATCAAGTGTTTGTTAACATAACCTTCTACATGATCAAATGGGATTCACTTAATGCATCAGAGAATTTCAATAGATAATGGTTCACTTTATCGGATTCTGCATAATAGATCATAGGTTTTCCAATGTTACTGGCACTGTAGGTAGTTTTAATGTTGTGATGCGAATTACAAAAACTAGTCCTCAAGTCTAGTCTGTGCAATATCAGGATTTATTTTGGCTGTTCTAAATAGTAATAATAATATACAACTACTGGTTTCTTGAATCGAATTTCCAAACAAAACTGTATATCGTTTTAGGTCACTTAATTTCAAGTTCCATCAGATTTACATTTATTCTTTATAACGTGTCATTATTTGTGGTTGTCTTTTTCTAATCGGCAACCAAACAATTCGATGCATTTGCGTTAACTTTCTCATGTGTAATTTCATTACTCCGTTACGGTGAGTCATATTGCGTTTATGTTGTTTGCGGTCATTTCATTTGATGGTTTAGCTTCATTTTCTTCTTGTTTAAACTTCTTGAAAAGTTTAAATTATCAAAAATCCTAACTGTAGATTTAATCATTTTGAACAGCACATTGTAACTCTTGACAGTTGATCCTTTTGTTCTTACGACTTGTGAATTCAAATGTTCTTGCTTTAAAGCATGTTGACCACCTGTTAAACAGGACTCATAGAAAGATTTTGTTAAACTTATATATATATAATCTAGAATACAATTAATTTAACACCAACTTATAAAATATATTTCTACTTTAGCTACATTATTTCCAATTTTGGTTTCTTTTTCAGTCTTTGTCTTTCTCCTATTTTTTAAAATGTGGATTAGCACTGTTGAGAATCATTCAGTTCAAATGAGTAATTACATCCTGAAAGATATGCATAAGATTATAACTGTCTGGGGTCGTGGAGAGCATTAATTGAACTTTTTTTATTTTAAATATAACGTTTTAAGAACTAGCATGGATGACTTGCCAAAAATAAGTTCTCAGTTATACAGAGTAACAAAATAACGTTAGGTATGCTAATCGGTTCCACTCAACGTGAATCGATTGTTTAATTGGCTTAATGAAACTTCGGTCTTACCACATTCAACCGATTGAGTTGGCCGTCGTAGAGTTCAAGTTCATTTAAAAACTAGGAACTGTGTTTATCTACAATATACCACTTAAACCCCGTTTGTTGACAAATATCTTTTACTTAGATGTATAAACTTGGTGATATAACAGATTGTTCAAAATATTTCTCCCTTACAGGTATACTACAAAAATATTTTAATAAGACTAGTCACTTTATATCAATACAAGGATTCACGACCATAATAGAGAACGAGAGTACAGACTAGACTGCTTCATTCAACACAAGAAAAAGTAATCACTCTCAGCGAGTCCGGACTAGAAATCAATATCAGGAAAGGGAATTACATACTTAATAGTCAGTAAGCTAATTGCCTGTTTGTCTACGCTCAACGACCAACCACATTTTACTCTCACTACCACTGTAGTTGCAGTTCATGAGTTAACTTCATTCGTCCTATAAATTAAGGCAGCTCGGATAAACAAATTCAGGAATTCGATTTATAAAAATATTAACATTGTTGTGACTTTAAACTTGGGTCGATTTATACCCCGTGCCAATTGTTGCGTCCTTGACTGAGAAGATTAGAGAGCAGTGTACTATAGACCGAATCAGTGACACGTAAAACACATACGGACGACCCAGTGTCCTGATTGGTCCCGCCTCCCTGTCTAGCCCAGCCAGCTGAGTCCAGAACACAAGTCACAACCTCTGAGACATGAATCGTTATATTTCAAACATGCTCCGTTTATATACCAATCAAGCATACCACATCGTACCATAAAATAGAAAACAACATTTTGTACAATATTTAACAAGTGAACAAATATCGACCAATAGGAAGTGTCCATTTAAAGTCCAAGGACGCCATTAGATTTAACATGACAATGATTGGTATATTCCTCTGCATCCCTAACAAACATCAGATGGATTTTGTGGATATTATAGTAATTTCAATGGTTAAGATCATGAGTCAGTTGAAGCTAGACCACCATGGAAAACCTGGAAGCACTGGACGTCCGTTTCGAATCTCGCAGGGGGCGAGGTCGTGAATGCGCACAATAGGACGGAACGGCCGTCCAGTGCTTCCAGGTTTTCCATGGTGGTCTAGCTTCTACTGACTCATGATCTTAACCATTGAAATCATAAAAATATGTTTAAGTTCTGAATCCATAAAATGCCGTGACCCAATTTTACAAATATTGCTTCAGTAACCTCTATAAAATATCTAAGTGAATGGAGCACGAAAGCTTGATTGTTTTGGTGAATTGGACTATGTAACCAGTTCTACAGTGGTATTTCAGTTTTCCACTTATAGTTTTAATATATATCTTGTTTTGTTTACGTATCGAAATGTCGTGTCGATTAGGATTTGTGGAAGTTTACACTCGGATTTTTGTATTCGCCTATTTCTAAGCCTTCGTTGTCATGTATTTCGAGTTTTTCATCAATTAATTATTTCTCCATTACTACGGTTTTATTTCACTCATGACTAATCTATACACGCAATATGATTTCTTGTATCGGTATGCAGTCAGGTATTCCAAGTATATTGTTGTATGAGTTTTGGGTCATGCTTGAATAGTGTACGATGGAATTAATTTGCTCTCTTTTTCTTTTGATTAAACACTGGGTTAGAAGCAGCTCCAGTACCAACGAATGTTAAGGTCTCGGTAGTTGTTCGTTGAACGCTGCTATTGATGAATAGAATGTCACCGGATCTCCTGGCAATATAAGCGAACTAATCGGTAATTGAACCCAAAAGAATACAACAGCTACCATAATAATGATCCGGTCAGACGGGCCCCAATTCTATCCAGTTATCTGTCTTATCACGAATGCAGCATATTTTGTATTTTTGGCGATACTATAATTTATGGACGAACCAATCAGATTTAGGATAACAGGTCTTGGATTTTGGCGCGAAATTCACACACCCATTTGTCTAAATAACGTCTTGTCAGTTCATGATGGAAAACCGTAAATCTAATTACTAACCCTAACCATCAACTGTGAATCATAACGCTTATTCTTCAAACTGCTTTATAACCCTCATTTAGCCCTAGTAAGTAGGTAGACACTCAAGGTCAATTTAGCGTCGCTTAAAGGTCGTCCATAAATTATAGTCTCGCCGTATTTTTTACTTGGTGCTGGTTCATTTTTAACCCTTATGTGAGTAAACGTGATTCTGAAGTCGACATATAATGCACATAATTAATGCTTTACTACGACTATAGGTTCGTTCTCTGTGATTCTATTTTTTTATTCATAAAAAGACGTGTTTGATCCATCCTTCGATAAATTTCACTCAGTAAAATAACTCACTTTATATCAAATATAGTGAAAACTTCTGATCAACGAAACAATCCATTGAGAGCGCACGTATCGCAACAGAGAGGGGTCAGTTGCGATCTTTAATATAAATAACGGTAAGTCATAAACCCTTACTAATAATCTGATAGAGATTGGTTAATGAAAAGTATGACTGGAAAGGGATTCTGGTTTCTGGTGTTAGAATCATAGATAAACTTAAGGGTATAGTGTATGCAAACTCTAAAACTATTCATTTGTCAAAAGGAATATTTGAACATAAGTTTGCAGACTTTAAAAGGCACGTTGAAGTAATCAGTTTGTATCTAGTTATCATAAATCGAGCGAAATATTTGTAGACTGGTATCGCGTTTGACGTAGTTATGCTGAGTGATAGTGTAGTGAACGAGAACACAAGAGGGGACAATCGAATCTATTTGAACACAAAATTACAGAACGTCTTAGTAAAATCTGAGAACCATGCAGTAAATACTTCATTTGCAAAATATTCACTAATTG